TGACTTGTAAAATTAATTCAGAGGAATTACTAAACGTGCCATTCTCCGAGGGGCTGCTTGTGGGATCAGGGGCTGGCCGAGGGCGAGCAAACACCCTGCGGGCGTAGGGTGAGGTGATGCAAGCAGAGATGACTATTCAGCCGCAGCGAAGTCTCTGGCGGGGAGGGGGAAAGAGGGGCCGGAGGGGTCAGGTTCAGATGCTAAGCCACGTTCCCTGGAAGCTGAATGATCTCAGAATCCATCAGTCAACCTGCAGTGGCGGGGAGTGTGTGTGTCCCCAAGCAGGCAATGGGGGCACATGAGGGGATGCAGTGCCAGGGTCTGCAGGTGAGGAGCGTGGAGGTGATGCTGCGGGGGCGGGTGGGTGGTGAGGAAGGATGGCTCTCCATGAAGATGGCCAGAGGAGGCTACACCATGCACAGAGGGAAGGTTCCTTGTAGAAGAGAAATGGGGTGGAAACCAGAGCTGAACAGTGTTGTGGGCTTGGGTGTACAGAGGAGGGGTGTCCATATGGGTACCAGAGAGCAGGTAGAGGTGCTGGGGGTCAGGGCAGGGCTCCCTGTCTCATGCGCAGTGCCACAGCCCCCTTGTCCCCTGCAGACCAGGACTCAGTGGGACCGTAGCTGTCCCTGCCAGAGGGCTCAGGCCCTCCAAGTCTCTTTCCAAGAGTTTCCAACAGCAGCAGCTTAACCATGGTCCCAGGCTGACATCAGGACCACCCACACTCCCCTCTACGTCCCCAGCAGCTCTTCATCTCCCAGCCCAGCTTGCAGGTGACCCAATCCTACCCCGACTGGGTACCACTTTCCTCCCACTCTTGAGCCAAAAGCAGCAGCCACCGCTGCCAGCCCTTCCCCATCACAGGTTGCCCTGCAGCCTGGGGTCCCTCTCCCCATGCCACCCAGGGGAGGGTTGAATCCCCCCTGGGAGCTCATTGACTGGATATGATCCCACACTTGAAGGCATATCCCTGTGCCCCACAGATGTGTCCCCCACTGCCCCACCACTGCCACCAGGATGTGAACACAGGGCAGAGCCAACCACTGCGTCCTGAGCACGTGCAGATGCCCCAGCTCCTCTTCCAACACACTCAGGGCCAGGCACCCCATCCCAAAACCAACAGGCAGACAGGCTCACCTGCATCCCATCAGAGCCCCCTCTTCCCATCGATGGGCAGGAGAGGTGATTGTGAGCCCTGGGGCGACGTTCCCTCCTCACCCCCGAGTTATGAGCAGTTTACTGAATTACACAAAGTGGCTGGTCAATAATCCAAGACAGTGAGAGGTTTTGGCCTGGTTTATTAAATGCCTGTTCCTGGGGATGCTCTGGCTGCCAGCTCTGCACCCCCAGGGTGCCACGGTTCCCTTCACAGCAGCATCCTGATCCAGGACCACGGCCCAGGCTCCCAGGGCAGTGGGAAGGAAAGTGGGTTTTGCTGGAAGGATGCACGGCTGCAGTCTTTTCTGTGGACTTTCATCAAAATGCCCATGCTGGGGTCAGCCCGGGCTGAATGCCTGCTCGGCTGGGAAGGAGTTGTGGGAGAGCCTGTGTGTGTCCCACTCAACCTGGGAGCAGAGAAGTGCCTGTGCAGGTGTCACACGGGGCTTCATCTCATCACGGGTGTCCACTTCTACCATCCTCACAAGGTGACAGAGTTCAGCTCCATGCATCCCTGTGTCCCCAGGGTGCCCCATGCCCCAGACCATGACAGACAGACATCCTGCCTTGGCCATACACTGTGCTCCTTAGCTGGACCTTTGCTGACTGCTCCACGGGACAGCAGGCTCCAGCATGCAATACTGAGGAAGGTCGCAATGGTCATGGGCACGTTTCATCCCTCCAAACAGCTTGAGCTGGCAGTGGCACCTGCATGGCAGCAGCCACCCCCAGACGCTGCTGTGACCTGCCATTCTGCCCAAGTCGTGGAGCCTTTCCAGGGGACAGGAGCTGCTGGAGGAATGGCCAGGCTGCAGGGCAGGACGCGTCATGGTAGAGGGGGTGTTGGGGGAGTGAAGGGCTGGTGGTCAGTGGTGGCAGCGGGGATCAGCTCTGCAGCACTCCAACAGCTTCCGCAGGACTCGCTCCTTCAAGCGGATCCTCCTGGAGAGCTTGAGCGAGTGGCTGGTCTCGTTCTCATGGGCCTTCAGCTTGGCATAGTAGTCAGAAAACTTGTTGTAGAGGATAGAGATGGGCATGCCATTGAGGATGATGCCAAAGGAGATGCAGCCGAACGCCACCATCCTGCCCAGCACTGTGTCGGGCACAGTGTCTCCATAGCCCACAGTGGAGAGGCTGACCTGGGCAAGGAAGGGAAAGGATAAAATCCTACGTGAGCAAGCCCTGCAGACCCTTCCCACTGGTCCTGGGATCCATCTCCTTCTGCCCTTGCGTGGGAGCTGGGTATCACCTGAGACCGGCACTGCACCACGGCTGCAGCTAGCTGGGCTCTCCCTGCTCCAGCAGCCTGCATGGCCAGGGCTCAGTTTCCTGGGCTGCACCCAGAAAGGGCTGGATGGGGCCCCACCAGCAGAGACCAGAGGGAAGCCTCCCTGCTCCCTTCATGTCTGTCTCTTCAAAAGCTGGACATCACTGGGCTGAACTTTCCTCAGCAGCCAGACTGTCTGCTGGAGCTTCCTGCCCCATGGAGTGACAGCTCCGGTGCTTCCTGGCTCTAAGCTGCCCGGTCACACAGGAATGAGGCTTCCCAGACCCTCCCTCCAAGAGAAACAGGCACTGCCCAGGCATGCACCCAGAGGAACCGCGTTTGGATGACAGGGGAGCGGGACTATGGGGACAGGGTGAGAGCTGAGGCCTCAGAGAGGTTTGGGCTTTGCGTGGAGCCATGCTCACCAGGGACAGGATCAGCCTGTGACATTTAAATACTCAAATCTGGTGATTTTGTTAAGTGATTTTGCACTTCCTCGAGGAGGGATGAATTTGAAGCAGGCAGCCTGTGGTGGCCAAGGGGGATTATAAGAACAGAAGGTATCTGTGGGATCATTTCATCTGTAAATCAAAATGCCCTTGTAACCCCTGGCTTTTGAGTGCTTTAGCTGCTCCTCATCTCAGAGTTAATCCCAGGTTTATTACAGCGCTCCGCTCAGCTGAGCTGCCAGCTCCCAGCACGAGCAGGGCAGCAAGCAAGGGCACCTATCCCCAGCTGCAGCACATTGCAGTCTGTGACCCCACGTGGGACAGGGGCTGAGGCACAGTGTGATGATGTTTCTTTGGTTCCCACATGCAGCCCTGGGTCCACCGGGTCAGCCCCACGGTCTCTGACCCTCTCGCACCTCCCGAGCCCAGCTGGGCTGCAATGCTGCACTAGCATCAGGCTGTTCTCATACCCACGGGTCTGAACTGCATCCACCCAACACGTGGGTCCCGCAACACAGAAAGCCCAGGCTGAGTCACATCCCCCCACTCACACAGGCCTGGAGGTTCCTAGGCCATCACCTCTGTCCCGCCAGCCCAACCCAGCACCAGCTTTCGAGCATCTAAGATCTCTGATTTTTCTCAGAGCATGTGGGGCTCTTCGTTTCCCACCATTATTAAGCTGGTGGGAAGAGTGGGCCCTTTTCTGCCTTCTGGCCAGCAGCAGCAGGGAAACCCTCGAGCACCAGGGCAGCCCCTACTCCCCACCGCACCCCTCTCTGGAAGAAGGTGCTCACACCTTACCGCTGCCCACCACCATGCGTAGGGGATACTGGTGAAGTTGGTGCCTGGGACATCGTGTTCCACCGAGTGCATGAGGGCGGAGAAGGTGAAGACCCCCATGGCGATGAAGAGGAAGAGACAGCAAACCTGCTGGTAGCACTGGCGCATGGTGAAGCCAAAGGCCCTGAGGCCAGTGGAGTGGCGTGCCAGCTTGAGGATGCGGAAGATCCTCATGAGCTTGATGAGCTTCAGGACTTTGCCCAGCTTGCTCACGTTCTCCACCTTGTGCAGCTCCTCATGGTAAAGTGTGTCCCCTTCATCCAGATTTTCAAAGAGGATCTGGATGTAGAAGGGTAAGATGGCCACCAGGTCTACAGCATTAAATGCTGCCCGCAAAAAGTTCTGGAAGCTGGAAGAGGATATAAGCCGCATGAGGTATTCGGAGGTGAAGAAGATAGCACAGATCATCTCCAGCTGCTCCATCCATATCTTCCCTGTCTTGTGTTTCATCTCCTCCACTGTGCTCAGTGTCATGCCCACAATGGAGATGAGCACAAAGAAGCTCGACATGACAGCGATGATCTTGGCTGGGACAGAAGAGTATGGGTTCTCAATGAGGTCCCAGATCATCTTCCGAAACCGTCCCAGAAATTTGCCCTCAAACTGCTCTGCTGACTCCTGGGGCTCCAGTTCTGCCTCCAGCTCCTTCTGTATTTTCAGGTACTCATTGAGCTCATCTTGCTTTTCCTCAAACAGGATCCGGCAGCAGTGTTGGGAGTATTTCAGATGGATTCCCCAGTATTCAATTTCCTCCACAAAGTTACTGGGGCACATCTCATCCATTATCCACAGGACCCCGCTGCAGTAGAAGTGGAAGATGTAGTGGAAAATTGAAGGATCTCTGTCGAAGAAGTATTCATTCTTCTGCACTGAGTAGTCATCACAGAGCTGTAGTTTCTTCATAGGATCTGTATAAAGGGCCAGCTTCCCAAGCCTGGTGATGGGATACCGGGCCGCTACCTTGTAAGCTATCTGGAACAATTTGCCACCCACGTTAATGTTGAGCAAGTACTTATTCCT